CCCCTGAGGTGATCATTTTGAGATAAAGTTAGCATAGAACGGCAATGGTGGTTGGGTTGATGTGATCTGCCAAGATTAGGGCCCCCCGGAGTCGGTGGTATTGAGATGAGTAGAGTCCCAATATTTGCAGTCTTTCGGAGTTTGTCTTGTTATACAGACCTTTTACCATTTACCAGCCTTTGCGGACGTTCTAGCGCCTTCTTGTCGCGGTTCAACCATGAATTCCATACTTCAACGGCGTACTCCGTGTGTGTCCGAACGAACGCTGATAGCAAGCGTGGGAACAGTGCTTTTTCGAACTGCCCGAACACACGTCTGAGTAGTCCAACTTGCTTTATAATCATGAATGATGCTCTGGCACAGTGCGTGGAACATCCTACACTCTCCTGCACCATAACTCTCAAATCCCTTCCGTCAGTGGTATACGGTGGTATTTGGTTCCTCAGAACATAGGAGAAACGAGTCTTGTGCCGCGTCGTCCGCAAATAGCAGTGTATTAGGCCCGAGGACATGTGACAGGTCGATATAAATGCAAGAAAGAGACAAGGCCCCAGTACGGGTTCTTGAGGAGCCCCTCGGACAGCGTTGATAGGCTCTGATAATGAATCATCGACACGAACTGATATGGTTCTTTGTCGGAGAAACTCTTTGATCCAGTCCAGAACCAAACCTCTTCGCAGTAGAATTTGGGTTTTACTCGACAATTGTTTTGGAGAAGTCCAAGTAAACTATATCCAGTGGCTGGCCTGCATCGACTGATTTTGTCTACTCATCTCGTACAAGAAGTAGATTTGTGGTGCACGAGCGCTTTCGCCGAAGTCCGTGCTGAGTTGGAGAGAAAAGCCTATGCTTCTTCAGGTACTCCATCAACAGATCGCTTCGTCGTCAAGCTTTCAACGAAGGTGATACTGTGTGCAACCATCAAATGGATTTAGAAAGAAGCTTGGTGATTTCATCGCGTGTTCTCGAGAAACTTTCGGTGGATGAAAGACAGACATTTGGGGATTACGTTCAATCTATTGTGCAGAAACAAGTGAAGCGTAAGCATGCCCTTATGAAACGCCTGAATCCGTCAAAACGAATGAGTGAGTTACCAACGGATCCTGATATATTGGTCCACAATTTTTTTGGTGTAAACCTAGATAAAACGTTGATAAAGAAGTATTATCCTTGGGGCCAAAGTTCTGCTGCTCGGGGAGAAAATTGAAACAATTAGATATGGAGGTCGAGTTTGAAAATCTTTGCGCTCAGTTAGCAGACTTGTGCTCTTCATCTCATTTGGAAACGGAACAGCTGAAGTCTACTCTGGTGAACACATGTTATCAATGTCAGAGTGCCAGATCATCGACTAATGGATTAATAACGGAACAGCAACTACAAAAGCTAAGAGAGTTACAACGGAACAAGAAAGTTATCATCACGAAACCGGACAAGGGATCTGGTACCGTCTTATTTAATAAATCAGACTACGTCGGGAAGGTAACGACAATTCCGAATGATGAATCGAAGTTCACAAAAATGGCCCATGAGAATGACAAGACACCCCAAATAGAGAAGGCCCTTTCTACCACATTAAAAAACTTAAACAAAAGGGCTCTGTACACACCGCCACTTTTGAGCGGATTCGACCAACAGGGACTACGATTCCATGATTGTACGGGCTGCCCAAAGTACATAAAAGTGGAGTTCCCCTCAGGCCAATTTTGGACATGTGCAACTCTCCCTACCGTGTGGTAGCCAAATGGTTGGTTCATCTTCTGGAACCGGTGAGGACGACATTAACCCAGCATAGCCTCAAGGATACAACCGGTCTCATTGACGCCTTGAGTGGCTTAAACATCAAAGATCGCCACATGTTTTCGCTAGATGTCACATCCCTGTTCACGAATGTTGCGATCGGTGAAACAATTGATTATTTATGCACCCATATCGAAAGTAACGGAATTGACGTAGGCCTACCGACAGATGACCTTAAGGAATTCTTCTGTACTCACAATGTGCAATTCAAATTCAATGAGGAAATCTATCGTCAGAAGGACGGTGTAGCAATGGGGTCCCCTCTAGGGCCCTTGTTTACCGATGTTTTCATGTCTAAGATAGAAAACGGCCCACTTAAAACAGATATCGAATAATGCGTACTGTACAAACGTTACGTAGACGATATTTTGTGCGTGGTCGATTTTACAACGGAGTGCCAAAATATACTAGATCATTTAAATACTGCACATCGGAATTTGAAATTCACGATTGAAAATGAAGCAAACAATCAACTAGCATATTTGGATGTTCGCCTAACTCTCTGTGATGACGGATCCATCAGACGGTCAGTACACAAGAAGGCGACTTGGAATGGGCAGTAAATTCATTTCCGTAGCTTTGTACCACTCAATATGAAGAGGAATATCATACTTTGTTTCGTTAATAGAGCTAGAAAAAGTTGCACGAAGGACATGCTGGTTGAACAACTCCAAAATGTGCGGAATAACTTCATCCAGAATGGATGTTCGGAGCGCTTGGTGGAATCTGTGATGCAACAGCAAGAGGCATTTCCCAAGAGGGTAATTACCGAGAAGAAGTCTGTGTACATTTCTTTACCATTTAAAGGTGACACCTTGGCATAGAAGGTTATCAAATTCCATCAACTCGATTCGCATCTAGTCCGCTGTTGTATTTAAGGTTGAAGGATAGAGTGCTGCCTCTTTTTGTATTTACTCTTTCACTTGTTCCTGTTGGCCGCACGACCAGGCGTCTGTTCGAGCGCATCCGTGATCATCACCCTGCGTGGCATCGAACTGGAGCAATTAAGTCAATTACAAGTGCCGTCGTGTCGCACCTTGTCGACACTAATCACATTGTAAACGTGACCGAAACGTTCCAACCCATGTATAGAGTTAGAACGGGACGGTCTAGACACGTGCGGTTTCGCATTCTAGCCACAGCGGAGGCAGTTTTCATCCGTCTTCTCAACCCCTCTCTGTGTGCTCAGAAACAATTTGTGCAAGCACTCAAGCTCCCATGGCCGGATTGCCGACAAGTGACTCGTCATGCAACATCAGAGCAAGTGATCATTGGGGACCAATTATGAAAGAAACTCTTGAATACGTTGATTACTTTCCCCCTCTTTTTTTCTTTTAAATCCTTCTCTGATACTAGTCATATTTATTTGTGTTGTAATGGCATGATTAAGATACTGAAAACGAGCTTGTTTGCCAATTTGTGTTCTCATTATGAGCTCTGTGGGACTGTTTAAACATCAACAGATCTGCCACAACAGCTTCCATGACTTTCTACAGTATCGGACGAAGTGTCACAGGGTGGTAGTTAGCGGAATCACTGCGAGAGCTCTCTTTGTAAATGGGGGAAATCACCCCTTATTCCATAACCGCGGAATTACTACCTCGTTCAACATCCTTTGGTGAAGGACAGCCAGAGGTTTGAAAATGTTATTGGCTAGCGAGATCAGATTCCGGGGATATATGTCGTATGCGTCCGGGAATGAATTTCTACGCAAAGTTAGTAGTTTTGCTCTAACCCTCTCACTGTCAAAAGCCATGTTATCCAGTGACGGTATGCAGGGCAGTTTGCTTGGAGTCTGTAATGCTTCGTGTGTCGTTGCAGTGAACACTGATTGAACTGTTTTTTGAGGAACTCTGCAACTTCAAGAGTAGTGGGTGAAACGTGTTCAGACAACCTCAAGGCTGCATTTCATATTCCTTGTAGAGTTGATATGTTTATAAAGTAATTTAGGATCAGAAATGAATTTTTGAGCCAGGGTTTCTTGGTACATCAATTTGTCCTCTCGTACAAACTTGGTACACTGATTTTGCAGTAAGGAATAATTAGTCCAAATTTCGATAGATGGACATTTTCTGTACTCCCACCAGGAAAAGTCCCTTTGCTTTATCCATTTCTTTGTTCGGCTGCGAATGAATGACTGTCGAGTTTTGGATTTAACTCAAGTTTTGGTACTTGTTGCAACGGTTACAATTTCGGTAAGATGATCAGTGAAGCTCTTCCATGCCACCAAAGGATCGTGATCGTCTTCTGGGAGGATCCATTGCTTAAGTATTACCAGGTTTTGCAGCTTTTTGTAGTCTATGATGGCACGAGTATTGTTCTTTCGGTCTTCCTGGGTAAAGACGTAGTCTATATAATCAAACTTCAATACGGCATGATCACTACGTCCCAGTGGACACGTGACATTGACAGATTCCACCATCAGCTCGTCGCTAGTCAGCACTAAATCTAGTGTTGATGGTACGTGACCTGCTCCAAATCTAGTGGGTTCTGTTACGCAGTTGTACAATAGTTGCAAGCCAATGAACTGGGATAGTTGTCTCTCGAATGGCTGGCGGGAAATTCTCGTTCTGAAGGGATAGAGACAGTTAAAATCACCCATTATGAGGACATGGGTGAACTTTATTAAAAATGCATTCCTTATGAATTACAGCAGTGTTTTGGGTACTGATAGTCGTTCTCCGAAAGAGAAACTCGCTCTGCATTGCCTCCAATGACTCGGTTATGTTTAATACATACCTGCTGATCATCTACCTCCGTTCTCTCTTTACATACATCGAGCAAGGTTGGAAGAAGCAATGTGGCGGGTAGATCGCGACTTAGTTTAGGATTGTAAAGAATAAAGCCTCTGGATTGGCTGTGGTCGATGTTTTTCGTCTTTCAATTTGGGACTCAAGGAATTATGATTGTCCTTGGACAAAGACGCTGAAATATTTTTCCGTTTAGTGCTCCTAGCTTTCAACCCTTGAATTTATTCCTCTAATTGGTTGACCAAATAAGCAGCAAAAGAATAGCTACCAAAATTATTGCACGACAGTGCAAGGTCAGCTATTGTGAAAACTGAAAAATAATAGCTTGAGAGATCCGCCAGTCTTGTGCAATACCTAAATCGTAAAGAAGTGCAGTACATTTGCTTTCTCACACTCAATCACAAACTTTTATTTTTTAATCACGAAATTGTCTGTATCATTTCCATGTTATAGGAATACCCCTGGATTCTAAGTGCATCTGATGACCAAACCATTCGTATCTGGAATTGGCAGTCTCGCACTGTGGCATCCATTCTTACAGGACACAGCCACTATGTTATGTGCGCTCAATTTCACCCAAAAGAGGACTTGATTGTTTCAGCTTCTCTTGATCAAACTGTCCGTGTTTGGGACTTCTCAGAACTTCGTAAAAAGAATGTTGCTCCTTCAGGTATATCAGGTATTGAGGTAAGCAAAATTGTCCTGATGTACTCTTATGATTTCTCACTTCACTGTGATAAAAATCCGTGTCACAATGAACAGTGTAGACGCTCAGCGAGCTGGTTTCAGTTGTTGCCATTGGATCCGCGGTAGTATGATACTACCAGCAGGCATGCTGCGACGATTAAACTTGCAATATAATTCAGCACTTGGGCGGCAATTGAAATTCATTGCATATACAACATATCGTCCTAGTTTATATCACATTTATATCATTATATAGCAATGAGTATTTATCACCTTTGATTCGCAAATTACGTTCGTATCTTTTGAAAAATACCATGAACTTCACAACTACAGGTAGACTTGCTTTCTCAATTATCAGATAAACTCCATGGGCTCAATGAATGAAACGATGTAACTAATCAAGATGTTTTCCCCCAACTGATTGCTTATTCCTAGGAACACATGAGACAGATTACAGGCTCGTCCCGCCTTGGCGGTTCGAATATGGGTTCTGGTGGCCACACAGAATTGTTCGGTACTGGCGATGTGGTTGTTCGTCATGTCATGGAAGGACACGATCGTGGTGTCAATTGGGTTGCTTTCCATCACAACCTACCGATTGTAGTTTCTGCTGCAGACGACCGTTTAATAAAACTGTGGCGTATGACTGGTAAGTGTGCCGTTGGGTTCCATTCGCTTCATGTATTTTAATTACCGTCGGATTTTTCAGTATTTCGGTTTAATTCAGTTTACATTTCCGTGTTACATGAACAAAATTTTAGTATGTCTCGGATTTGCTTGCTTTTTGTGTTCTCTGTAGAACACTGTTCAATACATCCGGGAGTGACTAAAACGTTGCAATATCTGAGATCCAGTTGGTGATATTTCTCATAATTCTAAATCCTAATCTGCATCTTGGGGGTTACCTTTTCGGACAATCGATTTCTATTTTGTCCCCTTGTGAAACATTATCGTCATTCTGATTTATCTTTTGTGGGTTTGAAGCAACTATCCGCGATGCATTTAGTTGAACCCTCTTTTCTGAATATTATTTGATAGGTAGTATATTACCAGACAACGTTTCCTGGGACGCACACAGACGGTCATTGCCGTTCATCAGGTTTGCGTATCTTGTATTCGCCTATCGGATGTGTTCACGACAGAATTTTCTAGTTTGTGCTTTTCCGGTATTTCGCCAAATTTGTTGCGTTTAGTTAGTTTCAGTTTTTACAACCATCATCCATGCACTTCGTGAGCCGGTTTTGGTTGCTGCTTTTGGTAGCTTCTAATCCGCAGATGATAACTTGTAATGGTAGCAGCGATTCATTGACGAACACGAAAGTGACTAAGTGTGAAAAATACTCCCCGAGAGTCATTATAATTTTCCATCCTGAATACATATCCGGGGTTCAAGCTCATTCATGGCTCAGTGAGCGCAAGTACCCGGCATGTATACCTGATCGGCATAAATAGTGTTTGTTCATCAACTCAGCATATGCACCAATAGCAGTTATGATGCACAAAAATACGAGTTCTGCGATATACTCATCTAACTCATTCGGTCAAGCTCCGATATAGTAGTGCTGGCAGGTGATTTTCGAGTGCTTGTTGGAAAACTGAGCTTATCGAAGCTTGTCTAGGCGATCAGATTGCTCTGCCCTGCCAACCAACGGATAACGCCAATCGACTTCTCCAGTTCTGTGCAGGCCACCGTTTGTTTTTGTCCAATAAGTACTTCAAATATAGTTCTCGACAGACGGTAACGTGCCCTCCCATTCAACAAGTCAGGTGCCTGATAAGCTCCAATAAGAGCAAAAACTGGAGTGTGGTGCTTCCGAGTGTATGATTGACTAGAAGAACAGACGATTATGCATGCAGATGAAGTCTGATGGACGGTCAGATCAAATCAATATTAAAATATGTATAAATCATAATCGTCATCGTACAGTAGAACACAGTGAATCAAACTTTATTGACCGTTTGAAAACTCGCGACGCATACAAGGTCAGTGACTAAGGTGGATAGGGATTTTAGTTCATTTTATCATGTTTACGTGGCATCATAGCTGGGAAACTGGTGATTGTTGAATTGTGCTTGGTTTCCTGGGAAATTTATAATTTCAGAACGAAAGTTCGAAGGCTACGTTTATAATTGGAACGGTTTCGCGGATTGAGGCTGCCCGTATTTGTCCATGTTTGTTGACGAATCAACGTGTCACTGATAGCAAAAAATTGTGAACGCTGAACATCTTTTTCTTTGGTTTTATCAACTGTGTATGTTCATCAAATCTAGAAATGAAATCTGTTGAGTGCTGTCTGCACCGCCTCACTATAACCTCCCGAATTTTACTGTATGGTTTTTCAATGGATTCTTTCGCACTTATTCGTTAATTATATTGTTTTTAAGCTAAAATTATCTTTCTGAGACGAAAGTAAGCAGTAAAAATGTCGGTTAAACTCGTGCAACATGGCTCTCATCATTGAAATACATTTCGGTTTCCAATATGCTATGGGTGGAGTGTATTTATTCTTGACTTTATCTTCGACTTCTATGTTCTTAGTTCACTTCTATAACTGATGCACCAGCGACCGTTGTCGAACTCGAAAAATTCTATCTAAATTCTGTCTAATTCTATCTAAACATTCTATCGGCATTCGACTAACAGAAGCAGAAACAAGAAAATATTGGTGCGTATATGTTGCGTCTGATGTGGGGCAATATCATACTCAATCCCTTGAGTGAGGCTCAGAACACTAAGTGTTGGGAGGAACAGATGTCGTGAAAGTCAGGATACTGCACGAGTTTGATCAATACCTGTGTGATATGCTCTGCTGCTGATTCACTTAACGAGTGACAAAATTTGTCTCAACAATAACAATATATACATATATATATATGTGCTGGAAATAAAGATTTTCTGCTGTCGTTGGCATATATTGTAGGTATCTTGTAAGTTCATTTAGCTTCCCGCATTTGAGACAATTAAGGTCTTGCTTGTTTGTGGCCTTGCCCTTCATGTTGACCCTACTGTCAGTTGGAAGCCACACATTTCAAATCAACGTTGATCCTTGCTCGGATTTCGGTTCATATTCTCAATTAGTCCATTTTATCCATTTTGATTATATTATGCTGCTGTTTCAGAAACCAAAGCGTGGGAGCTGGATACGCTACGAGGCCACTACAACAATGTGAGCTGTGTTCTGTTTCATCCGCGACAAGATCTGTTAATATCAGATTCGGAAGACAAGTNGGATTTGGCCAAGCGTACTTGCATTTCAACCATTCGTCGTGATTCAGATCGGTTCTGGGTGGTCGCGGCCCATCCTAAGCTCAATCTGTTTGCAGCCGGACACGATACCGGGTTTGTGGTGTTCAAACTGGAGCGCGAACGTCCGGCTTTCACGGTGTATAAGGACTACATGTTTTATGTGAAAGCCCCATTTTTGCGACGCTTGGATTTAAATGCAGCCAAAGACATTCCGATCATTCAGCTACGCGAGTAAGTTTATTAGCTGCTCTTGTCCACCCCCTTTTTCAAATGCATTCCTCTAAATGACGTCGTCTCGAAAAATCAGATTTGCTGCTGGATCTCAATTTGTTTATTTCTTTAAATTTTCATTGTTGTTGAGTGCAACTTTTCTGCAGTTGCTAGATTAAGAAGGGGTCACTTAATAGTGAAAATTGACCCACTGTCTATCTGGCTATGATCAACCTCTGGATTGCATAGTTTGAGCTTCGCGCATCTGAAGGCCATGGTTCCAATACAAGTAAGAAACCTCTTACGTAACGCCTGGATGCCAAGCTTAGTTTTTGGTGGTAGGCAATTTAGTTGTCACCCGGCTTACTACACCACGCCCATGTTAGTGTGGCCTTATGTGACCCTCCACTCCAGTTCCCAGGATTCAGGTTGCCAGTTTCCATGAGTGAACTATGGGATTATCCTCCAATTTTGTTCATCGATCACGTTTTTTTAAATAAATAAAAAACGTTTTCTCCTTCTTGTATCTAATATCTAGTGCCGTTAATCTAAGCGCAAATGATATATCTAACATATAGGGGATATCCCGTTGATCTGGATGCATATCTACCTTCTGAAATGGTATTTCTATCCGGAAAGGAAATAGCTGTGAAGATGAAGCCGATAGTCACAAACATTTGCTGTTCAATCGCCATGGTGACCGTCAACCTAACCCCTGGGAGCGGCGAACTTTGTAAGCTTTCAAAAGTTTAGGCGTATTTGCCATCCGGTTTATCTCGAAGCTGACCAGCACTATCTACTCAAGCATTGTGTTCTAACATAATCTCAATTTGATTTTTCCTTTGTCTGCTAGGGGGCGGGGAACGGCGGCTAGTCTAGCCTACAACCCGATTGAAAACGCTGCGCTTGTCCTCAGCCGTTCGCGAGAGGCCGATGTTGGTGCTTCGAACACGTCAACTTTGGGTGCTACGAACAACATGGTATACGACTTGTATATGATCCCGCGCGAAGCTGGTTCAGGCTCAGAGCCACAGCACGTCGAGAGCCGCTCGGGCACCGGTTGTGCAGTGGCATGGGTTGGGCGTAATCGATTTGCTGTGTTAGAAAGTACTGGTGCTGTAAGTTCAGATGTTTCTTTTCTCTTGCACAAAATTGCAAGGTTGGCTATTTTATGAACTAAACTGAACTGTTTTCTCCTGTTTGAGCGATTTGTCCGACCGTAAGTATTTCTGGGACTTCCCTCAAGAAATCGTTTGAACTTTATCTTTTCATTATTATCTCCTTGGATTATGATTTGCCCTCAGTGGTTGCACGAGTTATTAGTTTGTAGCTGGGTTTTCGCGATGGTACCCTAATATGGCGGGCAAGCAACATGTCGGTTAATTGTTTGGTTGACATTCGTCATCAGTGTGTACTTTTAGTTTCCCTGTCTGGAGTCAACTCGGAAACCATCGAGTTGAACAACGGTACCGCAAGTGTAATTGGAATAAACGGAAACATGTTTAATACTCTAATTCAGTTTGGCTTTGCAAACTGCATTCCCGGTCAAATTATGTCAAAATAAGTTTTTTATTGTCCATCAGCTTAAGAAAATTTCCCCAACATCGACGTTCTCACTAGTCTATCCATTCCATATTGTGGCCGTAAATGTGGATCTTAAATGCCTCCTTTTCAGCTGTAAATATGCTATATAGAAGAGGAATTATAAAGAATGCACTTTGGTTTTACTAAGTCATTGGTCCCTTTTCTGTACCCCATAAAGGAAGAGACAGCTGTTGAATGCTCTCTATGTCTTCTTACTTACGAAGTGACTGGAAAATCAACGGACTTTTAATGAAACAGGTTTGCATGTCAGACCGTCACTGCGTGAGACATCAATGTCGCATCCCGCAAACTTAACCCTTCACTCTCAATATGCACTTCGACCTTTTCATTTCGTTTCACATCCACAATTCTTCCTTGTCTTCAATTCTCCTCATTCTTATCTTGATCCCCTCCTGTCTTTATCTGCGCCACGCGGTTTTTCACCCTTTCGCAACTTCTTTTTATTCACAAAGTCCAAATAGTCTTACTATAGAATATTGTAGCCATATCTAAAACGAGACCGCCTTCTTCTTAAGCACTTTTAATTCCCGTTTGCCCTAAAGCCATTCACCTTGTCCCTAACGTCCACCCTTCAAACTGTTGCCTATACCTGTTCGATTACCTTATCTCCCTTCTAACACGGAGTTGGCTCTGCGTAGCATATCGATTTAGACTCTCCTGCACTGTCCTTTGCTCGGGAGGTATCTTACAAATGGTAATGCACTCTTGCCTGGTCAATTTTGAAACAAATCATCGTCTTCTCAAGAACTGCGTTCTTGTGTAATAATCTTCCTTACTCTGTTTTCTCCCTCTCCTAAACTTCCTATATTGAAGCACAAGTCTGAATGTTCCATCATCCGTCGTTGAGTACACGAGTTGTTGATATAGTACTAAAATTCGATTGAATGCACCATCTAAATGTATAGATTTTAAGTAAAGGGTCACTTGAAGTGCAATGAATGTGAATACTCACTAGAAGTCTAATGAATGCAATGAAGAAAATACTGAACTGCAACAATTAACAGTATATCATGTTCCTCATACAATGGGAACCTAAGGGGATTCACATCGTTCTCGAATCTGAATTTCGCTGCGTTAGTTCCCATTTCTAATGACCAATGTGACTTACCTATTCTGCTGTTTATCATTATTTATTTTTATTTGGCATGAATAAACTAGTTTTTGTTTGAACCCCTTTCCTACATTTTCTCAAAAACATCTGATAACAGATCTTGATCAAGAACTTATCGAATGAGAAGGTCACTCGCGTCAGTTTCTCCGGTGTGGATCAGTTCTTCTATGCGGGAACTGGAAACTTGCTCATCCGTGATTCAAACGGGATCAGTTTATGTGATGTGATCAACAAGCGTACTCTGGCCACTCTGAAAAATACGAAGGTAATGAATTACTTTCGATACACACCCGCTCTTCACCTCTTATAGCCAGAGTGTAAAGTATCTGATTGAGAATATGTGGGTTCACAAATTGATGGTTTTTTTATGCTTTGAGAACCCACGAAGCTGTTGCTGAAGACTTTCTAATGAAAAAATGTTCACTCGGCTGATTGCTGAGGACGCACTGGTTCATCTTATTTTTCCGTTCTTTTATTTCTGTAAACTATTGAATCGAATTAATGTTCATTTTTTTCCCTGTAACGGTTTTCTTACCACACGGTTCTGCATCGCGGTGATCGTATTTCTGAACTAATATGAGATTCATTCGGTTCAACCTTTCTAAGAGGTGATGAATTGATTTCTTTTTTTTCTCATCACTCATGTCTTCTTCGCCGTAGCACTGTTATTTGAACTCAACCGATCTTAGGCATAAGAATCCACGTGATTGATCGAATTTCGCCACACTAGTGCGAGTGTACCCAGTATTTACATCATAACAGGGCACTTGTTAGAGTGAACGAGCTTCTGCTAACTTCACTGCTTATTTCTGCCATGGTTTGATTCGCCGGACACGAAATCATGCCTACTCGTAAACCCATTACTTCAACCACTTCAGTTGTCAGTAATACGGTCAGTCTGATTAGTACATAATCTTTCCTGTCAGGTTAATTTTCCGTCCAGTTAGCGGGCCTTAGATTGCCATTGTGACTCTGATTTTCATCCCCTTGTGACATTTGGTTACAGTTAGTGCTCTTTGACTCAAATCATTTTTAGGAAATGTGCCCGCATGTGTACATTCAAATACAACAGATTTATCTGCGCAGAAATCTAACTTACCTATTCATTTTCCATTCCGTTTCAGTATATCCGTCACGTGGTGTGGTCTCCGGATGGCCAACATGTTGCTATGTTTACCAAACTGTATCTGTACTTATGTAATCGTCAACTGGAAATTCTGACTACCGTACATGAAACTGTTCGTATCAAAAGTGGTGCCTGGGAAGAGCATGGTGTATTCATCTATACTACCAGTAACCATATCAAGTATTCCTTGTTAAACGGGTGAGTGAGGTGCTCCGTACCTGTGGATTGCGGTTGCTTGGCATTTTTTACCACACAAACTCATCGTGGGTGGTGGTTGCGCAATGGTTTAGTCGCTGTCACTGGCGTGCTTTGGACCCTATGGTCCGAGGTTCAAGAGAACCGTCATCTAACTTTAATGGTGGGCAGCTTTGCTGTTGTCCGGTTCAGTACCACGCCTAACTTAGTGGGGCAATGTGGTTCGCCACTCCAAGTCCCGAGGCTGAGGTGTTACCGGTTCTCATCACTGAACTGCAAGTTCTCGCGACTATCGGATTTACCCCGTCTGCTGTTCAGCACACGGGTGTGTAATAAAAAAATCTCAGATATTCGTTCAAAAGTTTTGGGCAATTACATGTCGACGCATCTGTACTTCCTACTTTTATTTTGGAAAAGGTCGTGTATATTTATACGCAGCCAAAAGAAGAGCAAGAATGAAAATGAAAACAGAGTTGGTTACAGACGAGAGACGTTAGAAAGAATGATGTATGAAGAAGGAAAAATCTTTTTGAGTGCGTGTTTCATTGCACACGTTTTGTTGTTTTTGGTCTGTTTTGATGAATAGTCCTGTAGTGGATATAGGATTTCAATAGACAGATCATAAAGCATTCACGTTACAAATTTCTGTCCCATCATCTCTATCTTAACAGCGAACCTCATCCTTTGGACCCCAACCTGGATGATGGCTATGCCAATCGAATTCAATAATGAGGCCTAATTCTTTATTCCCCCAAACCAAGTCATGATCTGAGAAGAAGGCACGACGGGCAGGTATTCACAAAACATAACCGAGACATAGGATGCGGTGTAAACCGGTTTCCCTTTTTAGTAA